TTATCTCCTCCGCTCTACAACGTCCGATCTATGTGCTCCACTCTACAACGTCCGATCTACCTCCTCAACCTTATAACGTCCGATCTATCTCCTCCACTCTACAACGTCATATCTATCTCTTCCACTTTACAACGTCCGATCTATCTCCTCCACTCTACAACGTCCGATCTATCTCCTCCACACTACAACGTCCGATCTATCTCCTCAACTTTATAACGTCCGATCTATCTCCTCCACTTATAACGTCCGCTCTTTCTCCTCCACTTATAACGTTCGCTGTATCTCCTCCACTTCATAACGTCCGTTCTATCTCCTCCACTCTGTCTTTCTCTTAGCTCTATCTCCTACTATCTCCTCCGCTCTCCTTTTCCCTCACATCTCTCTCCCCCACTTGCTGAAGAACACAAAATTCTGCATCTCTCGACGTTTGAATATCAATACTTTCATAGTCAAGCAATTTATACTCCCGTGAATCAGTTCCCGTCAAATTTCGCGGCAGCTTTGTCTGAAAGTTCACCGTCCATGTTTCATTCCTAACCCATTCGGCCTGCATCTGAAAATAGCAGTCCTTTTAGATTCAGTACCTTTCTTAGCTCCCAGAACACTGTTTCAGACCATAACGCAAGAACCTTGCTTGATAACTCCACCCTCAATATCGAACCCTTCTGTATATTGTACATCAACTTGTAGTACCGGTTGAGGTACCCCACTCAATCCCAGTGAACCACCCCTTACATCCCTTACATCCCTTACATCCGGGCAATCGCTTGTAACCCACCAAGCAAATACTTCATGGTGTTTTGTACTTGTGTTCCACAACGACAAACACACTCTAATACGAAGGCAAACAATCAGCAATCACAAGTATTTGGCTCTAAGTTTAACGTCTGTCGATGTTTGTATTTAATTATGCTTCAGACAGATAAATTAAATCCTCTTGTAGGGTGTGAGACCTGTTCCGACCACAGATTGGGTCTCTGAAACAGCCGCTTACGCACGGTTTATCTACTCGTCTCACACAACGGCAGGCAAACACATCATGTTTGTATTACGACATTGCTTGCGATTGGCGTTAGTTTTCTTATTTGAAAAGTCTGAGAACGTTTCAATGCTGTATAACTAGTATGTCATACTTGTTACAGCAGCCACTCGGCACGGTGGTATGTGATGTAATCGAGGGGAACAAGTGGTCGAATGGTATGGTATTTAGGTTGCAGAGCGACTTGGACCTTTAAAGGTCTATTAGTGTCCGACACATCAAATGACTTTAAACAACAAGTGAGCAATGCAAATAAAATGATTTACCAATCCGCTTCATGATATAAATTTAGTTTAGGTTTTAAAACAGCAAGTAATTTCACTTCTGAAAAATAAGAACTTCTTAAAGCAAAAAACAGATAGGAATAGGAGAAACCGTCTAAATGGTTTAAAAGTCAATACAAATATATATGTGTGCATCAATATTTTTATGATAAAATAAAATTTTCCAAATGCTGACACGGAGTATAATATTGAACCATAAAGTATGTTTGGGCCAAGTGTATGATTGGAGAAAAACAGAAGTGGTCCTGCAAGAGTCGCGTCCTTTGGTAGTACTCGGATTCCAAGGTTGTAGATCGAATTCCAGATTCGCCCGAATTGTGGTACGTTATTTGATGGCCTACATCATTATCGGCTCTTCACCTGTCTCTATTACTATGGTACTATTTAACTGGACGCGGACTAAACTTACATCATCCCACTACGCGTGCTAGGCAACACTTTATTGTTGTTTTTCTAAAGTAAACTCTGTCAAAAAAGAAACGCAACCCCTGTATTTTAGAGATTTTGATCTGAAGTTTTAAGACGACACAGCATTTTTATTATTTAAGACAGAAGTCTGAAATTTGGCAGAATAATAACCAAGATGGGCATGTTTAAAATTGTCATTTCAAAAGTCATCTCACAGACACCAGTTTGTCACCAGGGGGGCGTCTTTCTCAGTATCTCGTATGAGCACCACGAGCTGCAATCACTGCACGGCATCTCCTTGGACAAGAACGGATAAGACGCCGGATTTTAGGACATAAGTTCTGCAAACACCTCTTAGAGTTGGTCTGACGTTTTCATTATGATCAGTGTTTCATTGAGTATTTTATGTTTATACGTTTTCGAGTTAGATTGCAATTCATCGGTCCGCTTTTGAGCCAAACGGACTATAGTGTGTTATCTCCCTTTGTGGTCAGGATATTGTTTGTTATCTCCCTTTGTGGTCAGAATATAGTTTGTTATCTCCCTTTGTGGTCAGGATATAGCTTGTTATATCCCTTTGTGGTCAGGATATAGCTTGTTATCTCCCTTTGTGGTCAGAATATAGTTTGTTATCTCCCTTTCTGGTCAGGATATTGTTTGTTATCTCCCTTTGTGATCAGGATATAGCTTGTTATCTCCCTATGTGATCAGGATACAGCTTGTTATCTCCCTTCGTGGTCAGGATACAGCTTGTTATCTCCCTTTGTGGTCAGGATATTGTTTGTTATCTCCCTTTCTGGTCAGGATATAGCTTGTTATCTCCCTTTGTGGTCAGGATATAGCTTGTGTGTATGTATGTGTGTGTGTGTGTGCATGAGAGAAAAAGATAGAGAAAGTGAGTGAGCGTGCGTGCCTGTTCATGTGTGTCTGTATCAGAGAAAGAGATAGGGATACTGTGTGCTTAATTGTATGTGTGAGACTGTGTGTGTGAACAGGAAGTGTTTGGGTGTGTGCGTGAGAGAGAGAGAGAGAGTGTATGTGTTTACGTGGCTACGCGTTTGAGTGTGTGTGTGAGTGTGTCTGCGTATCCAAACTGAAACTTATTTCTTAGTGATACACCAATGGCATGCCATGGTGCCGTTTAGTATAAACATCCCACTCACGGACAGCATCCTGACTTACGGTCAGCCTGCACACAATGACAAGCGCAAAGCAAGGTAACATCAAGTAGCGTTGAACGTCTTTTTATTGGATGCGTCCGAGTATCGAACCAACGACCTACAGATATCAAGGCGGGCACTATGTACACTGGACTCCGAAGGCAGTCTACTGAAGAGGAGGAGTTTCAATACCCAGGAAACTGTCGAAGAGATTCCCGGATTCTAAATCATATTTAATAACGTTTGCCAACAAGTGAGATTACGGCACACTTTTCTATTTATATTCCAATATGCTGCAAAGAAACGAAATCATTTACAAAGATTGAAATGATGCAAGGATCGTATTGCTGAGAGACGTCAACGGAATAACTCTAAACATGTTCACATTACAGCCGTTATTAACACAAAACTGTAATATAATATTCAATATGATGCAAGATTATTATTAATCATATTGTATCAGATTGTATGCTTCTGCGTCACGTGGTTATTAAATACAGGATTAAGAAAGAAACATGGAAATGCAATTATTCTCATGTTCCCTCTGTTTGGTTCTCTGCATCGCGTGTATTCAAACACATTTTTTTTGCGTTTTCCAAGCGTTTGAGAAGAACTGACATTACGCCACACTTTTCTATTCATACTCCAATGTGTTGTCAAGAAACGAAATCCTTTACAAAGATTGAATTGATCCAGTGATCGTATTGCTGAGAGACGTTAACGGAATAGCTCTACATGTTTTCGCATTACAGCCGTTATTAACACAAAACTATAATATAACATTGAATATGATGCATCGTAATTATTAATCATATTGTATTAGATTATATGCTTCTGCTTCATGTGGTTATTAAATACAGTTTGAAGAAAGAAACATGGAAATGCAATTATTCTCATGTTCCTCTCTGTCGTTCTCTGCATCGCGTGTATTCAAACACTTTTTATTTCGTTTTCCAATCTACAATCTGCTCAATACATAATAAATGGTTTCTTGGCAATGATTAGAAAGCTGGCATGATGTAGGCTATAAATTTAATACAGTAATGTTTCAATGGAAACGTTCGTCCTAATCTTGTCACTGAGCAATGCATGAGACTTCCCGATGCTATTCATCACAATATAGCCCTGATGATAATGATTACTGCATTTGTGGTTATGATGGCAATGACGATGATGATGATGATGATGATAACGATAATGATGATGACGACGACGACGACGATGATGATGTCGACAATGATGACGATAATGATGATGATGATGACGACGACGACGACGACGACGACGACGACGATGATGATGATGACGACAATGGTGACGACGACGACGACGATAATGATGATAACGATGATGATGATTAATTTGAGGTTTTGTGGTTGTGATGATGGTGACGTTAAGGTCGGTCTCGATGATGTACACCATGTTGTTTGATACCACCGTGAACGTCATAAACATTAGCATAGTCAAAGAACACTTCTACATGTACATCTGTTACAGAGGAAGTGTTGGGGTGTGGTAGCCAAGGGGTCGTTGAAGCCAGCCTGGGTACTAAATAACATGTAATCATGTATAAAGTAACTCAAATACAACAATCTGATAAATCTGGAATTCTGCAACCCCGTGAAGTTAATCAGCGACATATTGACAATGTATCCCGAGTCTGTAGCTTCAAGAAGGACATGAAAGTCCCCGATGTATGTAGTTGGACAAAGACGTCCTTTCATCCCACTAGTGTACACTTCACCGCAATCTGGGCCCATTCAGGACAAGTTTACATGGAACTGTCGCCGACCACATGATCCTTGGTCCATCTGAATGGACGAAAAGAGATTTATACAAGTTTCAATATTCTGTGAATATCTCGGTACCTGGCATCAAGTCCCTCTCGTCTCAACACCAGGCGACTCGTGCCTCCTCCAGCACGGCAAAGCATAACGATATGGAACTGTGAGCAAATAGAGGCTAACTATCTCCGTATTTACTGGTGACGGGCCCCATTTCGACATCCCGCCCATACATCATCGTGGAGGAGAGGAGTGTCTGTGTCAACACGCGTTGCTTTGGAGAACATTGGGGAATATATATGGGGGTTAGTGGACCGCTGGGAAGATGTGGAGGGAGACGATCGAGGAGGATGCGGTTGACAGCGTAGACGCCGTTGGAGGTTGTGAGTTGAAGTGCACTTTAGTAAGACAAAATATGGTTTTACCCTCAAATCAACAATCACTGCAAAGACCCCAGAAATGAGCTTCACACACATCGATCATGTAGGGATTCTATCATGGTCCTACCGTCCGTCCGTCCTCATGTGTCACTCCATTTGTCAGACACCAGTAAGACTCATGACAACATCATGACAATGTCTTGGCGGCAAATTTTAAATGACAAATAAAAAGTGAACATACTTCCAAAAAGAAAACATGTATTTTCCTTGAAAAGCTGTATTATGACATTACAGTCAGTTTTGATAAGATGGTCAACATAATTAGGAGATAAACCTACTGTGTGGGAAAATCAGAGGGTATATAACGAAATTATAATAGCTCTAAATTTCATTTAAAACCGAACGCGTAGCGTGAGGTTTTAAATGAACAATTTAGAGCTATTATAATTTCGTTATATACCTCTGATTTTCCCACACAGTAGGTTTATCTCCATTCTACCATGACAATTTTATGAACAATTTCAGGTGGAGCTCTTTCTTTGGTTACGAGTCAATACGTGAAGCGGCCTCGCATTCCAATCTCAAGTGGTATCGCCCGAAACGGGGTGTTTGGTGGCAAACCGTCAATGACTAACAAACTCCAGATTTTTCAATGCATCAATCACCAATCATTAACTGATAAGTTGGAAAACATATATCAAATAAGTTTCAAAAGCTTGGTTCACATTTGAAAATTCCACCGTAGACCCTTTCCCCACCAGAATAGTGGCAGCAACCTCATGGCCTTGACCTTTTCTCGAAGTCATTGTTTACATTTGGAAAGATGCGACAGGAGAGCCACTGACAGTTTGCGCAAGGTTAACCTGATTGTATGACTGAGATAGTCTTTGATATCTAATTACTGGTACTGGTACAAAATTTAAGAGTAGGGGCGCTTTTGCTGTAACGAGAAGTCCGTGTTGTACCGAATTTAGATACTGTTGAATTTTGCGCCCTGTCAACTTGACGATTTCACGCACCTCTACGTCTGAGTGCGACAGCTGTGGTGACTCTTACACACTCATGTGTGTACTTTGTGCTCAAATTCGATTCTACGGATATTATTTTCTACATTTTGGAAAGTGTTTTGTGACCTAGTGGCTTCAAAGTGTAGTGAATTCAAATTGAATCGGATTGGCTGGCATGTTCGCGAGTCTGTTGACAAAGAGCCAGATTTGTGGTGATATTTCCGAAAGGATGGATCAGGACACGAGGGTGTACCTCTGGCATAAACACGGTAAGGTAATTAATTATACTTTAATAGACTACTTTAGATCAAGCAGTGTAATGGATAAGAGGGATCATGACTAAGCTAAATAACTTTTCAACGATATTATACATTTAGAAAAAATATGTTGGGCTAAACAGAACGGTTTGCAGATTCTGTAGATCTAATTGTGTTTTACTACCGCTAAATTTGAAACAGTACAAATTTCAAAATATCATTTTGTTTGAATTGATAACCCAACTGTTTATTTATGTGGACGGAAGGCATTAGAATCTAAAATTTCTTCGGCGTTCGATGTTAATGCATCCTCCGTTACCGGATCAAGATCAGTGGCGATATCGTTGACGAAAGCTGATAATAAATTTAACACGGAAATTTTGTAGCAGTCTATTGCTGGATCTATTCTGACATAACATAGAATCAACGTAAACATATTTGTTTTTGCTGAATTTTTATTCGGAAAGCAGACGATGTTCTGATCTTGTTCGACTGAATATTTGTTTCCATGCTTTCGAAGTACTTTTGTATGTATAAACACCTATTGCTGTGATTTACGCAAGTAGTGAGTCGTGCCCGTCATCGCTAAATCCATCTAAAGACATATGTGTAATTTCCGACGGTAAAATCGCCGTAATTTATCGATGCATCGGTAGGTTGTTCGGTGTCCGCCAAGTTAGTGGGCAGACAAAAATAGTGCATTACCGTAAACCATGTATGATTGCGCACGGAAAACAGAGACCTGTATAACGTGATTATATACCTCTGAATGACTTTAATTAACCAATCACAATCCAGTGTTTACTGAAGTCATGGTAGAATTATTTATGTCAATGCGGTTGTATCCTTTAAGTAAGAGATAACAAGGTGGACGACCTACAGCACTCTCCACACACTACCGCATTAAACTATTGAGGCCATGGACAAGGAGGGATGATCGTTGGAGAGTATTCCTTCTACAAATTATTCAAACGTTAGTCCCAGAGTGTACACACACAGGCGATATTGGGTACATAGAGGCAGTTACAGCTGATAGATTCACGCTGATGACTGCACATCCGGGTTTTTATAGCTGCCCTTTCGTGAGTTAGAGTACTGGAGATCGTGTTGTTTGAAAACGTATTGGGATTACAATCACGCCTTGACCACCGATGATGTTAATTTCCATTGGTTGTCAAACAGTCTCCAATGGTTTTTGAAGGGAATGAATTGACTTCATTGGTGTCGACATACAAATTATATATCTTCACATGTGTCAGTCGTGATTCAGAACGTATTGTCTTCATTGATTGTGACTTCCATTGGTTGTGATACAGAACGTATTGACTTCCATTGGTTTTGATACAGAACGTATTCACTTCCATTGGTTTTGATACAGAACGTATTGACTTCCATTGGTTTTGATACAGAATGTATTGACTTCCATTGGTTGGGGATACAGAACGTATTGACTTCCATTGGTTGGGATGCAGAACGAATTGACTTCCATTGATTTTCATACAAAACGTATTGACTTCCATTGGTTTTCATACAGACCGTATTCACTTCGATTGGTTGGGATACATAACTGACTGACTGCGTTTGGTTTTACGCCGCTTTTAGCAATATTCCAGCAACATCACGTCGGGGGACACCAGAATTTGGCTTCACACATTGTACCCATGTGGGGATTCAAACTCGGGTCTTCAGCGTGACGAGCCAACGGTTTAACCACTAGGCTACCCCACCGCCCCTGGGATACATAACATATTTGCTTCCATTGGTTGTGATGCAGAACATATTGACTTCCAGTGGTTGGGATACAGAACGTATTGGTTTTCATACAGAACGGTATTGACTTCCATTGATTGGGATACAGATAGTATTGACTTCCATTGGTTGGGATACAGAACGTATTGACTTCCATTGGTTGGTATACAGAACGTATTGACTTCCATTGGTTGGGATACAGAACGTATTGACTTCCATTGGTTGGGATACAGAACGTATTGGTTTTCATACAGAACGTATTGACTTCCATTGATTGGGATACAGATAGCATTGACTTCCATCGGTTGGGATACAGAACGTATTGACTTCCATTGGTTGGGATACAGAACGTATTGACTTCCATTGATTGGGATACAGAACATTTTGACTTCCATTGGTTGGGATACAGAACGTATTGACTTCCATCGGTTGGGATACAGAACGTATTGACTTCCATTGGTTGGGATACAGAACGTATTGACTTCCATTGGTTTTCATACAGAACGTATTGACTTCCATTGGTTGGGATACAGAACGTATTGACTTCCATTGGTTGGGATACAGAACGTATTGACTTCCATTGGTTGGGATACAGAACGTATTGACTTCCATTGGTTGGGGTACAGAACATATTGACTTTCACTGATTTTCATACAGACCGTGTTGACTTCCATTGGTTGTGATACAGAACGATAATGGAACCAACGATGTGTCCCTATCTTAGCCGACACTCTACGAACACTGGACTACGAACGCAGTTTACAAAACAGGAAGAGTTTCAATACCCAGAAAACAGCCGAAGAGATACCCAATCAAATTTAATAACGTTTGACAACAATTGAGATTACGGCACACTTTTCTATTTATATTCCAATATGCTGGAAAGAAACGAAATCATTTACAAAGATTGCATTGATACAAGGATCGTATTGCTCAGAGACGTCAACGGAATAACTCTAAACATTTTCACATTACACCCGTTATTAACACAAAACTGTAATAAAATACTGAATATGATGCATCGTTATTATTAATCATATTGTATTAGATTGTATGCTTCTGCTTCATGTGGTTATTAAATACAGTATGAAGAAAGGAACATGGAAATGCAATTATTCTCATGTTCCCTCTGTGTCGTTCTCTGCATCGCGTGTATTCAAACACTTTTTATTCGTTTTCCAATCTACAATCTGCTCAATACATAATAAATGGTTTCTTGGCAATGATTAGAAAGCTGGCATGATGTAGGCTATAAATTTAATACAGTAATGTTTCAATGGAAACGTTCGTCCTAATCTTGTCACTGAGCAATGCATGGGACTTCCCGATGCTTTTCAGTACAATATGGCCCTGTTCAATATTGCGTCAGTATCTCAATACAGAGGATGTCCGATCTATATCACATGCTTAATACATAGTATTACACCACCTCTTATGGGAATATAGTTAGAGGTATCTGGAGATAATATGTTCGTTGTGCTACAGTCATAGAGAATGACTCATAGCCCCTTTCAGGGTTTGGGCGATAGAGGTGGCTTGAAGGTGTCGATCTCCCAATGATAGCAACAAGACGAAGCAAGATAGAAGCCAGACGAAGTGGTCGGATTTCCTTATGGTTGTGTCAACCGTGCATGCAGTCTTCATGATTGTCTCATAACAGAATTCAGCCAAATGAAACATATCGTTTGTATCCTGCAGAATGTTATGATTATGATGTTGGTTTTGTAGTTACTTGTATTGGTGATGATGATGATGATGACGATGATGATGATGCTTGTTTCGGTGATGATAAATATGGCAATGATGTTGATAGCGATGATGATGACGGTTGTGATGACTGCATTAGTTTGAGGTTTGTGGTTGTGAAGTTGATGGTCGAGTTATGGTTGGTCTCGATTTTGTACACCATGTTGTTTAATACTACAGTATAGATGGGTTGTGAACGTCATAAACATTAGCATAGTAAATGTACACTTCTAAACTTGCATGATTTTACAGAAGAAGTGATGGGGTGTCGTAGCAAAGGTGTTTGTTATCACAGACATTTCTTGAAGCCAGTCTGGGTACTAAATAACATGTAATCATGTATAAAGTAACTCAGTCAAATACAACAATCTGATAAATCTGGAATTCTGCAATTTTTGTGAAGTTAATCAGCGACATATTGACAATGTATTCCGAGTCTGTAGCTTCAAGAAGGAGACCATGTCATGAAAGTCCCCGATGTATGTAGTTGGACAAAGACATCCTTTCACCCCACTAGTGTACACTTCACCACAATCTGGGCCCATTCAGGACAGGTTTACATGGACTGTCGCCGACCACATGATCCTTGGTCCATCTGAATGGACGAATAGAGATTTATACAAGTTTCAATATTCCGTGAATATCTCGGTACCTGGCATCAAGTCCCTCTCGTCTCAACACCAGGCGACTCGTGCCTCCTCCAGCACGGCAAAGCATAACGATATGGAGCTGTGAGCAAACAGAGGCTAACCAGCTCCGTATTTACTGTTGAATGGGCCCCATTTCGACATCCCGCCCATACATCATCGTGGAGGAGAGGAGTGTCTGTGTCAACATGCAGCCCATCGGAGAACATTGGGGAATATATATGGGGGTTAGTGGACCGCTGGGAAGATGTGGAGGGGGACGTGGGGGATGCGGTTGACAGCGTAGACGCCGTTGGAGGTTGTGAGTTGAAGTTCACTTTAATAAGAAGGTGGCGAAAAAGTATGGTTTTAGCCTCAAATCAACAATCACTGCGAGATACTAGAATTGAGCTTCACACACATCGATCATGTAGGGATTCTATTATGGTCCTACCGTCCGTCCGTCCTCATGTGTCACTCCATTTGTCAGACACCAGTAAGACTCATGACAACATCATGACAATGTCTTGGCGGCAAATTTTAAATGACAAATAAAAAGTGAACATACTTCCAAAAAGAAAACATGTATTTTCCTTGAAAAGCTGTATTATGACATTACATTCAGTTTTGATAAGATTGTCAACATTATTATTTATGTCAATGCGGTTGTATGTTGTAAGTAAGAGATGAAAAGGTGGACGACCTACAGCACTCTCCACACACTACTGCATTAAACTATTGAGACCATGGACAACGAGGGAGGATAGTTGGAGAGTATTCACTCTACAAATTATTCAAGCGTTAGTCCCGGAGTGTACACACACAGGCGATATTGAGTACATAGAGGCAGTGATAGCTGTTAGATTCACGCTGATGACTGCACATCCGGGTCTTTATAGCTGACCTTTCGTGAGTTAGAGTACTGGAGATCGTGTTGTTTGAAAACGTATTGGGAGCCGTGATGGCATGCAGTAGATATCGATTACAATCACGCCTTGACCACCGATGACGTTAATTTCCATTGGTTGTCAAACAGTCTCCAATCGTTTTTGAAGGGAATGAATTGTCTTCATTGGTTGGGATACAGGACGTATTGACTTCCTTTGGTTGTGATACAGGACGTATTGTCTTCGTTGGTTGGGATACAGGACGCATTGCCTTCCATTGGTTGTGATACAGGACGTATTGACTTCCATTGGTTGGGATACAGGACGTATTGCCTTCCACTGGTTTTGATACAGAACATGTTGACTTCCATTTGTTTTGATGCAGAACGTATTGACTTCCATTGGTTGGGATACAGAACGTATTTACTTCCATCGGTCGTGATACAGAACGTATTGACTTCCACCGGATTTTATACAGAACATACTGACTCCCATGTCACTGAGCAATGCATGAGACTTCCCGATTCTATTCATTACAATATTGCCCTGTTCAATATTGCGTCAGTATCTCAATACGGAGGATGTCCGATCTATATCACATGCTTAATACATAGTATTACACCACCTCTTATGGGAATATAGTTGGAGGGATCTGGAGATAATATGTTCGTTGTGCTACAGTCATAGAGAATGACTTATACACCCTGGCAGGGTTTGGGCGATAGAGGTTGCTTGAAGGAGTCGATCTCCCAATGATAGCAACAAGACGAAGCAAGATAGAAGCCAGACGAAGTGGTCGGATTTCCTTATGGTTGTGTCAACCGTGCATGCAGTCTTCATGATTGTCTCATAACAGAATTCAGCCAAATGAAACATATCGTTTGTATCCTGCAGAATGTTATGATTATGATGTTGGTTTTGCAGTTACTTGTATTGGCGATGATTGTGATTATGATGAAGATGATGATAATGATGATGATGCTTGTTTCGGTGATGATAAATATGGCAATGATGATGATAGCGATGATGATGACGGTTGTGATGACTGCATTAGTTTGAGGTTTGTGGTTGTGAAGTTGATGGTCGAGTTATGGTTGGTCTCGATTTTGTACACCATGTTGTTTAATACTACAGTATAGATGGGACGTGAACGTCATAAACATTAGCAAAGTAAAAGTACACTTCTAAACTTTTACAGAAGAAGTGATGGGGTGTGGGAGCAAAGGTGTTTGTTATATCACAGACAATTCCTGAAGCCAGACTGGGTACTAAATAACATGTAATCATGTATAAAGTAACTCAGTTAAATACAACAATCTGATAAATCTGGAATTCTGCAATTTCCTGAAGTTAATCAGCGACATATTGACAATGTATCCCGAGTCTGTAGCTTCAAGAAGGAGACCATGACATGAAAGTCCCCGATGTATGTAGCTGGACAAAGACGTCCTTTCATGACACTAGTGTTCACCTCCCCGCAATCTGGGCCCATTCAGGACAGGTTTACATGGAACTGTCGCCGACCACATGATCCTTGGTCCATCTGAATGGACGAAAAGAGATTTATACAAGTTTTAATATTCTGTGAATATATCGGTACCTGGCATCAAATCCCTCTCGTCTCAACACCAGGCGACTCGTGCCTCCTCCAGCACAGCAAGGCATAACGATATGGAGCTGTGAGCAAACAGAGGCTAACCAGCTCCGTATTTACTGTTGACTGGGCCCCATTTCGACATCCCGCCCATACATCATCGTGGAGGTGAGGAGTGTCTGTGTCAACATGCAGCCCATCGGAGAACATTGGGGAATACATATGGGGGTTAGTGGACCACTGGGAAGATGTGGAGGGGGACGTGGAGGATGCGGTTGACAGCGTAGAGGCCGTTGGAGGTTCTGAGGTGAAGTTCACTTTAATAAGAAGGTGGCGAAAAAGTATGGTTTTAGCCTCAAATCAACACTCACTGCGAGATACTAGAAATGAGCTTCACACACATCGATCATGTAGGGATTCTATTATGGTCCTACCGTCCGTCCGTCCTCATGTGTCACTCCATTTGTCAGACACCAGTAAGACTCATGACAACATCATGACAATGTCTTGGCGGCAAATTTTAAATGACAAATAAAAAGTGAACATACTTCCAAAAAGAAAACATGTATTTTCCTTGAAAAGCTGTATTATGACATTACAGTCAGTTTTGATAAGATTATCAATATAATTATTTATGTCAATGCGGTTGTATGTTGTAAGTAAGAGATGAAAAGGTGGACGACCTACAGCACTCTCCACACACTACTGCATTAAACTATTGAGGCCATGGACAACGCGGGAGGATCGTTGGAGAGTATTCCTTCTACAAATTATTCAAACGTTAGTCCCGGAGTGTACACACACAGGCGATATTGGGTACATAGAGGCAGTTACAGCTGATAGATACACGCTGATGACTGCACATCCGGGTTTTTATAGCTGCCCTTTCGTGAGTTAGAGTACTCGAGATCGTGTTGTTTGAAAACGTATTGGGATTACAATCACGCCTTGACCACCGATGACGTTAATATCCATTGGTTGTCAAACTGTCTCCAATGGTTTTTGAAGGGAATAAATTGACTTCATTGGTGTCGACATACAAATTATATATCTTCACATGTGTCAGTACTGATTCAGAACGTATTGTCTTCATTGATTGTGACTCCCATTGGTTGGGATACAGAACGTATTGACTTCCATTGGTTTTGATACAGAATGTATTGACTTCCATTGGTTGGGGATACAGAACGTATTGACTTCCATTGGTTGGGATACAGAACGTATTGACTACCATTGATTCTCATACAAAACGTATTGACTTCCATTGGTTTTCATACAGAACGTATTTACTTCCATTGGTTGGGATACATAACATATTAACTTCCATTGGTTGGGATGCAGAACATATGGACTTCCATTGGTTGGGATACAGAACGTATTGGTTTTCATACAGAACGTATTGACTTCCATTGATTGGGATATAGAACGTATTGACTTCCATTGGTTGTGATACAGAACGTATTGACTTCCATTGGTTTGGATACAGAACGTATTGACTTCCATTGGTCGTGACACAGGACATATTGACTTCCATTGATTTTCATACAAAACGTATAGACTTCTATTCGTTGGGATACAGAACGTATTGGTTTTCATGCAGAACGTATTGACTTCCATTGATTGGGATACAGAACGTATTGACTTCCATTGGTTGGGATACAGAACGTATTGACTTCCATTGGTTGGGATACAGAACGTATTGGTTTTCATACAGAACGTATTGACTTCCATTGATTGGGATACAGAACGTATTGACTTCCATTGGTTGGGATACAGAACGTATTGACTTCTATAGGTTGGGATACAGAACGTATTGGTTTTCATACAGAACGTATTGACTTCCATTGATTGGGATACAGAACATGTTGACTTCCATTGGTTTTGATACAGAACGTATTGACTTCCATTGATTGGGATACAGAACGTATTTACTTCCATCGGTTGTGATACAGGACGTATTGACTTCCACTGGATTTGATACAGAACATGTTGACTTCCATTGGTTTTGATACAGAACGTATTGACTTCCATTGGTTGAGATACAGAACGTATTTACTTCCATTGGTTGTGATACAGGACGTATTGACTTCCACTGAATTTTATACAGAACATACTGACTTCCATTGGTTGGGATATAGAACGTATTGACTTCCATTGGATCGGATACAGAACATATTGACTTCCATTGGTTGTGATACAGAACATATTGACTTCCATTGGTTGTGATACAGAACACATTGACTTCCATTGGTTGTGATACAGAACATACTGACTTCCATTGGTTGGGATACAGAACGTATTGACTTCCATTGGATCGGATACAGAACATATTGACTTCCATTGGTTTGGATACAGAACATATTGACTTCCATTGGTTGTGATACAGAACATATTGACTTCCATTGGTTGTGATACAGAAAACATTGACTTCCATTGGTTGTGATACAGAACATACTGACTTCCATTGATTGTGATACCGAACGTATTGACTTCCATTGGATCGGATACAGAACATATTGACTTCCATTGGTTTTGATACAGAACATACTGACTTCCATCGGTTAGGATACAGAACGTATTGACTTCAATTGGTTGCGATACAGAACGTATTGACTTCCATTGGTTGTGATACAGAACATATTGACTTCCATTGGTTGTGATACAGAACATATTGACTTCCATTGGTTGTGATACAGAACACATTGACTTCCATTGGTTAGGATACAGAACATATTGACTTCCATTGGTTAGGATACAGAACGTATTAACTGCCATTTGTTGGGGTACAGAACATATTGACTTCCATTGGTTGTGATACAGAACATATTGACTTCAATTGGTTGTGATACAGAACACATTGACTTCCATTGGTTGTGATACAGAACGTATTGACTTCCATTAGTTTGGATACAGAACACATTGACTTCCATTGGTTGTGATACAGAACACATTGACTTCCATTGGTTTGGATACAGAACATATTGACTTCCATTGGTTAGGATACAGAACGTATTGACTTCAATTGGTTGTGATACAGAACGTATTGACTTCCATTGGTTGTGATACAGAACACATTGACTTCCATTGGTTTGGATACAGAACATATTGACTTCCATTGGTTTGGATACAGAACATATTGACTTCCATTGGTTAGGATACAGAACGTATTAACTGCCATTTGTTGGGGTACAGAACATACTGACTTCCATTGATTTTCATACAGAACGTATTGACTTCCATTCGTTTTATATACAGAACGTATTGACTTCCATTGAATGGATACAGGACATATTGACTTCAATTGGTTGTGATACAGAACGTATTGACTTCCATTGGTGCAATTGGAATACAGAACGTATTGGTTTTTTATTCAGAACGAATTGACTTCCATTGGTTGGGATACAGAACACATTGACTTCCATTGGTTGGGATACAGAACATATTGACATCCACTGATTTTCATGCAGACCGTATTGACTTCCATTGGTTGGGATACAGAACGATAATGGAACCAACGATGTGCCCCTATCTTGGTCAACACTCTCCGAACACTGGACTACGAAGGCATTCTACAGAACAGGAAGAGTTTCAATACCCAGAAACCGCCGAAGAGTTACCCAATCAAATTTAATAACTTTTGACAACAAGTGAGATTACGGCACACTTTTCTATTTATATTCCAATATGCTGGAAAGAAACGAAATCATTTACAAAGATTGCATTGATGCAAGGATCGTATTGCTCAGAGACGTCAACGGAATAACTCTAAACATTTTCACATTACAGCTGTTATTAACACAAAACTGTAATATAATACTGAATATGATGCATCGTAATTATTAATCATATTGTATTAGATTGTATGCTTCTGCTTCATGTGGTTATTAAATACAGGTTGAAGAAAGGAACATGGAAATGCAATTATTCTCATGTTCCCTCTGTGTCGTTCTCTGCATTGCGTGTATTCAAACACTTTTTATTTCGTTTTCCAATCTACAATCTGCTCAATACATAATAACTGCTTTCTTGGCAATGATTAGAAAGCTGGCATGGTGTAGGCTATAAATTTAATACAGTAATGTTTCAATGGAAACGTTCGTCCTAATCTTGTCACCTAGCAATGCATGAGACTTCCCAATGCTATTCATTACAATATGGCCCTGTTCAATATTGCGTCAGTATCTCAATACAGAGGATGTCCGATCTATATCACATGCTTAATACATAGTATTACACCACCTCTTATGGGAATATAGTTAGAGGGATCTCTAGATAATATGTTCGTTGTGCTACAGTCATAGAGAATGACTCATAGCCCCTTTCAGGGTTTGGGCGATAGAGGTGGCTTGAAAGAGTCGATCTGCCAATGATAGAAGCAAGACTAAGTGGTCGGATTTCCAAATGGTTGTGTCGACCGTGCATGCAGTCTTCATTATTGTCTCATAAAAGAATTCAGCCAAATGAAACATATCGTTGGTATCCTGCAGAATGTTAAGATTATGATGTTGGTTTTGCAGTTACTTGTATTGGTGATGATGGTAATGATGATGATGATGATGATGATGATGATGATGATGCTTGTTTCGGTGATGATAAATATGGCAATGATGATGATAGCGATGATGATGACGGTTGTGATAATTGCACTAGTTTGAGGTTTTTGGTGGTGGTTGTGAAGTTGATGGTCGAGTTATGGTTGGTTTCGATTTTGTACACCATGTTGTTTAATACTACAGTATAGATGGGACGTGAACGTCATAAACATTAGCAAAGTAAAAGTACACTTCTAAACTTTTACAGAAGAAGTGATGGGGTGTGGGAGCAAAGGTGTTTGTTATCACAGACATTTCCTGAAGCCAGACTGGGTACTAAATAACATGTAATCATGTATAAAGTAACTCAGTTAAATACAACAATCTGATAAATCTGGAATTCTGCAATTTCCTGAAGTTAATCAGCGACATATTGACAATGTATCCCGAGTCTGTAGCTTCAAGAAGGAGACCATGACATGAAAGTCCCCGATGTATGTAGTTGGACAAAGACGTCCTTTCATCCCACTAGTGCACACTTCACCGCATTCTGGGCCCATTCAGGACAGGTTTACATGGAACTGTCGCCGACCACATGATCCTTGGTCCATCTGAATGGACGAAAAGAGATTTATACAAGTTTCAATATTCTGTGAATATCTCGGTACCTGGTATCAAGTCCCCCTTGTCTCAACACCAGGCGACTCGTGCCTCCTCCAGCACAGCAAAGCATAACGATATGGAGCTGTGAGCAAATAGAGGCTAACCAGCTCCG